CTGTCTGTCTGTCTGTCTGTCTGTCTGTCTGTCTGTCTGTCTGTCTGTCTGTCTGACTGTCTGTCTGTCTGTCTGTCTGTCTGTCTGACTGTCTGTCTGTCTGTCTGTCTTACTTTTCCCCCAGCACTAAATGACCGTTATTGTGTCGATGTGCTTCTCTTTACTCAAACAAACCATAATTCAAGTCACGGGTAGAGTTAACGTATTGTACATTAACATCACTTACCGGTGTTAAAAAAATACATCTTACAACAACCATAATAATTTAATCTTTTCAGATATCACGCACCACTTTTACTCATCCATGATGAGATTTTAAGACACAAATTAATGTTTTACCTTTGTATGCAATTATTGAGTTTCAATGACAATCTTTGGGGGACATCCGTTTGTACACTTATTGAGTTTCAGTTACAACCAATGAGTAACTTTCGTTTGTACTCTCATTGTGTTTCTCAGTCACGATCTACGGGTGAAATTCGTTTGTACACTCATTGAGTTTCAGTGATAATCTATAGGTGAAATTCGTTTGTACACTTATTGAGTTTCATTGACAACCAATGAGTGACGTTCGTTTCTAAATGCGTTGCTTAAAGGTGTCAAAACGCCAGTCCTACAACTCCAAGCATTTATTTCTCAATTGTTGTCGACATTCTCTTCTAAATCTGCGCAATGGGTGTTTTTCGTTAAGTCAAACATTAATTTTGAAATATTTGCACTTCTGTAATTCCCTCTTTCAGCTTTCTTTGTTTTTTTTGTACATATTTTGTCTTTGTCAATAACTAACGAAAGTACGTTATTTATGATTCAATTCAACATGTTCGGATCAACAGAACTCCATTCTTGTACAGTACATACTTAAATATAATTTTCTTTTTTTTTCTTTTCTTATCTTTCCTTTTTCTTTTGTTCTAACTCTTTTCCTTGTGTTTGAACAGGCCTGATTCACTGCAATATTTTGTACTTACGAACTTAAAAACATCAACAGCTGAAGTGTCACCTTTTTCTAATTTTCATTTTATCACCAACCTTGACAAAGATTATTAAAAATAACATCCCTCTTTTTACTTCCACCATCGGACTTGTTTTCTTCACTTTTTATACGTGTGGCCTAGTGATTAGGCTATCGGACTCGTAATCGTGAGGTTGTGGGTTTGAGGGTTCGAGCCGCGGGCTCGACGTTGTGTACTTGGGAAAGGCACTCTGCATGAATTTTCCTCTTTTCACCCAAGTGGGAATGGGTACCCGGCCATAGGCAGCGAAAGATCTTGTCAATATGTTAAGTGTTTTAGTGCCTATAAAATGGCTGTTTCGACCCTGTCTATTAGGACCAACTTTGACTGAGTGGGATTTAGTTTTAGAAACAAGAAAGGCGGAGATACCGGATACAATAATATTATCTTCTTTACCTGGAAATCTGTCTATGGCAGGGGAAGGCCCAGAGCAACATACTTAGGGAACCTAAACAAATGGGTAACAGGGAAAGATCAGGGAAACGTAGCTTTTTTGAGAGCATCCGAGCAAAGGAATGAATGGAGAACCATGATCGCCGATGTCTGTCGCAGATTTGGCACTGGATGATGATGACCTGGAAATCGGACTGAACAGTCTCACGCCACAGACGGAAGATTTTATTTAACTCATTTAGATCGCGCATCCTCATCCTTATTTTTGTCATTTTTTCCTCTACTTCTTTCGTATGTTTGCCACTCTCTTGTGAACTGCTATTTCCTTTCCGGGGTGCTTTGATAGTCGAAGCAGACTTTGTGCTGTTGAGGCTAGAGAAGTGAGCAGAGTAAGCCTGATTCCCCGTTTGGACTTCTCTGTTGACATCCACCCCCCGGCGCTCATAATATGACATTACGCATTCGTGAGCACCGTAAAAACCTTACTTAAACAAAAGGTCGCGCATTTTGATCACCCGACAACGCTTGAAAACGCGCTGGCTGCTCTGGGACACTTACACCCCCCCCAAAAAATAAAT